GACTGCCACATCGTTCTTCCCCAGAGCAGCTGGTGGGTTCGAACTGCCCACTTCTCAGTTAGCAGGCAAGTATTTTAACCACTGTGCCACCAGGGCTTCTTTGGATCATCACCCAGCCTCTTCTATGTTTGCAAACCAGGCAGAAACACTTCAGCTGTTAGGACAATTGCCAGGACTTGTGGCTGGTTGACTGACCATGCCCCATAGGGCTGATTTAGGGTCACCACGGAGCAGAAGATCACTAACGCTGTGCCACAAGGCTCTGACTTTGGTTCTAACTGTGAGACAAGTTTATCAAGAAAATGGTGGGTTAAGAAAAAAAAAAGCTTACTTTGCAGATTTGAAGTAACACTAAAGTGAGAAAGAATGTGCGACTCTGAGGCACCACAGTTATGAGCTATGAACACACCAACAACAGTGCAGAGCTTTCTACTTTTAAAACTGTTAAACTCTTCATCTAAGTGAAATATGACAGAAGTACAACACAAGGACAGAGGAAATGTTACACTGGAAATGAGAGAGGCACCAAGGCCCCGACTACCAAGTCCCATTACAACACTTCCCTCCCCACCTTCCTGTTGCGCCTGCGTAGCTCCATGGAACTCCCAACAGTCAGAGAAATAATCCAACCAGAAGAAATTTAACAGAGATGTACACAATCTAGAAAGGGCAGGAAGGCACATACTTCATGCTTATTTTCATCTTTTGAAATTAAAGAGATAAAGAATTGTATAGGCTCTTCTGTGTGTGAACAAGAGAAGGCACACTTCTGGGGAAAACAGACCAGAGCCCATCGAGGACTGCACATTTCCACTAAAATGATTTGAAGTAATAATTAGACTGGACCAAGGAAGCAAAGCTGAGCAGCGGCACATGGGAAAAATGACTGAGGCTTTACTTTAGAAACAAAAGCTAAAAGGTCACTGTGTCAGCGAAGTTAGTCACATGACGTGCAGCATCAGACTCCACAGTGTGGGGTAACAGCCCACCCCAGAGTGCCCTGGACAGCTCTAAGCAATGCACTTCAGGAAGATTAGTGACAACGTGGGGAACGTCCAGAGGAGAAGGACAGGGGTGGTGGGAGGTGCCTCAAAGTAATCTCATTAGGACTTGCTGAATAAGCAGACTGCGGGGGTAAAGAGGATAGAGTGGGGATCCCAGAAAGACAGACAATGATAGTCATGTTCAACTACTTGAAGGGAAATCCTGTATATTTCTTATAAATATATTTGTTCTGAGTGCCTCCAGGGGTTAGAATGAGGACCACTGGACCACTTGGTGGGAGATAAAGGCAGTCAAATCAGAGGAAGAATTTTGCAATAGAACCAACTGGAGACAGAAACAGTCACCTGAGAGAGATTAAACTCCCATTACAAAGGTATGGGAGCCTTTGTCAGAGGACTGCTTCACAGGGCTGCCATAGCAGGGATTCAATGTTTGGATAAGGGATTGGAATTGACATCTCCTAACTCTGGAAGGTGATGATTTGAAGTAAATTCCCATTTATATGGAATCCTAAACCTCCCACACTCCAGAAAACCAGAATATTTGACATAATACTGAATAATAACAAGTGGTATTTATAAAAAGGCCCCTGAAGTTGTACAAATTCCAAAAGGGCCTTTATAAGGCAAGATGGATTATATCTAAGAACATTCCAGTGGTAACTGTTGTTAATTGATGTGGTGGTTAAGTTTGTGTGTCAACTTGGCTGGGCCTGGTTGAGTGGCTGGGCAGCTGAAAAGTAGTTATTCCCCATGGTGAGACTGGTAATTAACTCCATGGTGGAATCTATTAGAGCAGCTATAAGTAGCTGCTTTGGGGATGTGGTCTGCTTCACGTACATAAGAAACAGCTTTGGGAACAGTCTCTAGCTTATGGCATGCTTGAACCCTGCACGTAGCCTTGCCGTTGTTCAGCAGCCTACCGTGCTCTGGAAATCTTGGGACTTTCAATGGACTCGAATTAATGGCCTGCTGTGTAGTTTGGCAACATCAGGACTGTGCCTTTTTACTTGTCAACCTTGGGCTTGTCAGTCTCAGCAGCCAGCAGCTAAGAGAAGATAGGCCTCTAGTTTCAATGGGCCGGGAGCAGGAGGCAGCACTGAAGCCCAAGGTTGAGGAGCTTTGACCTAGGCCCTAGAGCCTAGCACTTTGAACTCAGGCTTAAAGCTTCCAAACTGTGAGAAAATAAACTCTCAAGCCATCCCATTTGTGTTATATTCTTGTCAGAACAGCACTAGGTAACTACCACAACAGTTGATATGCTATACATGCTCTGTGTAGTGACTGCTGATCTCAACTGACAGTGAATCTTAACACCGTGTGTACAAAAGGAGATAACTACATCATATGCAATTCCTTCAAGAACTTTGCTTACATGTCTTCCAATAGTAGATGCATTTAGGAAAGTTTGTTCTTATCTAATAAAGGTACATGTAAATTTATTTTTAGAAAGACTGATTACATAATACTTTTAAAATGCATTTGCTATTTGATCACTATACTTTTGCAGTACAGCCAGTCCTTGGGTTAGAACATCCAACTTACAATTTGTGCTTGCCCTTTAATCTTAATGTAAATTTGCCCTTACTTTGAAACAATTAAATCAACCCCTACTTGCACCAAATTCATCACAATTATCTTCACTTGCTGCATGTACAGGTTTTAAATCATTGTCAAGACTTCAAGACTTTTCTTGCACTAAAGAAAAAGCAAAGCCACTGCAATCAAGGTGATTCTAACTCATAGTAACCCTATAGGACAAAGTAGAACTGCCCCATAGTTTCCAAAGCTATAAATCTTTATGGAAGCAGACTGCCTCATCCTTTTCCCACAAAGGGGCTGGGGGTTTGAACCTCCTCTCTTTAGAGGTGGTCAGCAGCCTAACACTTTAACAACCATGCCACCTAAATAAGAACTGTATGCACCTGTTCCAATTTATCTACAAACTCAAAGACATACTTAGGAGTGGATCTCCTTTGTAACCCAGGACTGCCTGTATCTTCAAATTTGAAAGATGCTAGGTGTGACAGTATCTGTGTTCCCACAGAGCATTACATACTACTCTTGAACATTATACTCCTTGATTATCGAGGCTGCCTAAATCCTTTTTCTCTCTTCAAATTAGTCCCACAACACTATCCCTACCCCTTCCATAGCTGATCCATTAGTTAGATGTTGGATCATATCACGTGTCTCCTGAGGAACTTGTGCAGAGGGGCTGGGAAGCCGTTTACCTACAACTATCAAGAATTATCAACACTCAAATCTTGAAAAGCAAGGAGGAAGGTATGTGACTTTTGCATAGCTATTAAGCCAATCTCCTAAGTGCAACTCAGAGTACTTAGAAAATACGCAGTTAAGTCCAGAGATTCCTCTGTGGCACAGTTGCAGGCTGCAGGGTCCAGTTTATCTGGGTTACAACCGTCCACTGTAATCTTGGACCTGGTCTGGGTTTGACCAGACACCATTCAAGGTGTTGAGCTCTGTGAGTCTATATGTGAAAATCACATGCTAAGATGTTTACAGAGACGACCATTAGATAGTGAAATTTTGCCAGTACACAGATCAATTCACCAATACTTACTTTTTAATTTTCCATTAGAGGATGTATCCTTTGCTTCATAAACTATTCATGTTGCCTATAGAGCAAGGTTTCCTCTAGTTTAAAAGTCCATGATTTTTTTGTTTGTTTTAATAAAAGGTATCATTATGTGATCTACTTAAACTTATCATGGATATGTATAGTGTAATTTAATATTCATGTCTGAATTCACCTACATCATCATTAACTGTGCGACCTTTGGCAATTCCTTTTTTAATCCCACCCCCTGGCTCTTAGTGCATTCCTCCATAGAGCAGAGGGCTGGCCTGGAGGTCTGGCCTTTGGTCCCAGCCAGTTCTGACTTCTCGGGAGCATCTGCACTGAAATGAGCAAGGCTAGCTCTCTATACTGTATATTCATGTATGTCTCATTTTCTACAACCATAATCACGACAGATACTAACAAGAAGTGTATGTTCTTTAAATTGCTACTTCCCTTTGCTCCCCCTAAAAAAATACTAGGGTAGCTAAGAAATACCTCAGAAAGGTGAAGTCTGGGGAGTACATGTGGATAACATGCAAACAGCTCCACTTCCAAAGGGTTCCAGCCACACGAGCCTTGAAAATACCTATACCTATCTGTAGGAAGAGCTCCTTTGAGGTTGTGTAATTCCAATATGAAAAATAAAGATTCCCAGAGGTAGAGCACAGATTTTGAGCATAAAGGCAGAAATCATGACTATGAACATAAGGGACGGATCACCTTAACCCTGGGGGTAAATGCTCTATGACCAGGGCTTCAAAGCGGTTCATTCTGGTTTGACCTCTTGCTGAGAATTTGACTTTCTCCCCAAGGTAGACTGAATCAGAATCTACATTTTAATAAGATCCCCAGGCAATTCTTATGTATACCTAAGAGTCTCTAAGAATTACCTGGGGAGCTTGTTCAACTGTAGATTCTGATTCAGTCTATCTAGGGTGGAAATGCAAATTCTCAGCAGGGGGTTGAACGAGGATGAACTGATTCAAAGCCCTCCCTATGACTTCCTCACAACCCTTCCCATTTAGTTCCAATTACTCACTAGGGGCCAGTGCCTGCCTTGTGTGGCCACTATAAATGCTTTGTCTAAGGCCAGGCTCTGGTAGCATAGTGGCTAAGACACTTGCCTGCTAACCAGACGGCTGGCGGTTCAAACCCACCAGCCACTCCTCGGAAGGAAGGTTGGGCAATCCTACTTCCGTAGTGATACTGCCTTGGAAACCCAAGGAGGTGTCGCTATGAGTCGGGGCCGACTCGACGGCACATAACAACAACAACAACAACAAGGCCAGGCTAAAGGACAGGGTCCTCCTATGTACGGCTATCTGGACATCCATCTCATTAATAAAGCTCAGAGAAATGCAGGCCCCATGGCCAGGCCTGGCTTTTCAACCAGATAGCTCCCCAGGACTTACCAGCCACTTTGCTGGTCCCGTCCTGCCCCGGTGATGGTGGTGCTGCTGCTGGTGAACAGAGGATTGTCAGGTCGGGGAGCTGGGAGGAAATGTAATTTACTGCATCTGGTAGCAGAGAACAGGGAATACAATTAGGCACAGTGTTGGGCGGCCCAATGGGTTCACTGCCGAGACAGCAACTTGTCTGCCCTACATAATAGACTGCAGGGCAGCCACTGAATCAGTGGATCAGGGTAAACAAAGACCAGCATTTGCCTGGTGACTGGGAGTCAATAGAGTAGCTGAGGTTGGAGGGAACCCAGCCAGAGGGCTCAAGCCCTAGGGCCACTGTATGTATGAAAAGATTTACTAGAAAGTGCTAGAGTCTAGTTGTACAAAGAATTCGGGGGGTGAGGGGAGGGGCAATAAAAACCCAGAAAGCCATTATCAGTTTGGTGGGATTGACTACATCTGGGACATCAAACTAGAAATATGTATACAATAGTATGAAAAAATAGATTTGGGGCTCATCTCTTGAGCTGGAAATATAGGTTTATGTACTTGATTTATTCAGAGAACAACTTTTATACACATATAAAGAAAGAAAGAAAAACTAAAACTCCAGACATTATTCTGTGCTTTCAACACTTCAGGTTGGTGTTTCAGCCAGTAAAATTCTGAGATTCCAAAATGAAACCATCCAGGAACTCAGCTGTAGGAAATGCTGCTGTGTAATAGAAGGGGACAATGAACTCTGCTTAGGAAAATGCCTGGACCAGCCTATGGAGGGAGGCGAGATCCTGGAGGGCGTGACTTTCAGCAGGTATGCCAAGGTATCAGAGAGGAGGAAACCACCGGGTGTGAAGCAAGAAGGATCTGTGCATCCCCCAGAGAGTAGTGGGAGAAAGAAGGCAGGAAGGTGGCAGGAAGCTGGGCTCTCTATGACGTGATTCCTTCCAGTGTCACACTACGTCACAGAATCCTGGACTGTCCATCAGTCATCAACAATTTTGTTGAAATGCTTACTGGATATGCCCACCAAATAGCTCACAGTCATCTCAAACCTAATAGGTCCCAAGCAGAATGCTTATTTATGCTCAACTGTTGCTTCTCCTGTACTCTGTGTTTGGCTCATGACACCAAAATTCACCCAGAATCCTCAGCGGCACCCTTACCTTTCCCACGTTTGGTGTTCAATCAGTCCTGTGACCTCTACTTCCTTCACATCTCTTACTCTCCTCTGTATTCCCACTGGTACTGCCTTCATCCTCATAGGTTTTGTCTTTTTTCTTAATGTCATGCTGGTTGTTGTTGTTGTTATGTGCCATGGAGTCGGACCCAACTCCTAGCGAACCCTCCTTGGGTTTCTGAGGCAGTATCACTATGGAAGTAGATTGCTCAACCTTCCTTCCGAGGAGTGGCTGGTGGGTTTGAACCACCAGCCTTCTGGTTAGCAGTCAAGTGCCTTAGGCACTACACTGCCAGACCTCCTGGGACTGCAAACAGACTCCAGAGTAGGATTAATGTGGCTCTACATTGACTAGGAGCTCTAGTAGTGTAGCGCCTAAAGCACTTGACTGCTAACCAGAAGGGTGGCAGTTCAAACCCACCAGCCACTCCTCGGAAGGAAAGTTGGCCAATCTACTTCCGTAGTGATACTGCCTCGGAAACCCAAGGAGGGGTCGCTATGAGTTGGGTCTGACTTGATGGCACATAACAACAACAACAACGACATTGACTAGACCACTCCCTGACTTGTGTGTGAGTCTGAACAATCTAGAATGCACTGGTACAGGAACATTTGTTCTCAGGGCAAAGACCACTCTCTAGCAGCTGGGATTCCTCTAAGAAAATGGAGTTTTCTATATCAATCATTTGGGGAGAAGGAACAGGAAATAAGGATTGGGCTTTAGGTTGGAGGGAGGCTCTCCTTCTCTCTCTGGGGACTCATGTGTATTGAGCCTGGGTCCTGCGCAGAGAAGATAGGCTTGAAGGGCCTCTTATCCCCAGGAAGGAAGGAAGCCCTTTCGAGGTAATGGTAAGTTGGGAGATAGCTGGGAAGCAGTTTGCAGCAACACCCTGGAAACGGGCCTGCGTTTGAACCAGGGCTCTCTGTGTAGACATATTATCTGAAATGGTACATTATTCTCCATTCTGAACTTCCTTTTCATTGTTCCTGAACTAAGATTTTAGATTTTTCTCTACTCTCACTGTGGGGAGCTGTGGGAAGGGTCTATGCCTAAAACAACCATGAACAGGGCCAGGGAGGGCAGCAGCTTGTGGAGCGGGGATTGGCTCTGAGATTGACATCAGTGGCCTAGGGAAGAACAGAGTAAACTGGGGCTAAACAGACACCTCATGGGACAAAAGGTGCACAGCAGACTCGCAGGATTTTGAGTTCCACTGAGGATATCCTGAAAGCTGTGGGAATGGGATCTCAGTAAATCTGACTTTCTACAGTCAAAGGAGACATAGTCGCAAGCCATTACGACCAAGCGAGACCTCACAGACTGGTCACATGTGTGTCTAATATAGTTAGTGCTAAATATAGAGTTTCTAGGGCATCTTGGTAAACTGAAATTTTTAGCAGCTAGAAACAAAAGCCACTTGCAGACAGTGGATTCTGCATCTGAAAGATCAAGTAAATGATTCCTACTGCTTGTGTCTCAGCCTCCCCGTGACACTTCCTGACACATGTGAGTGGGCCAGTGTGAGTTTGAGTTCTATAGCTCTTAGAGGGCTGGGGCTACATGACTTCTGCTAAGATCTAACATAGTGGCATGTGAAGCAGGAGGAGGAAGACAGAGCACTCACCCCAATGTACCATTAAATAATAATCCCAAAGGTTATGCAGCCAGAGGTATCTGACAGATACAAGGACTAACAAATGGGGCTTCTAAAGAGTTAATGGAAAAAATCTATTCAGGTGGCCTCATTGGGTCAGCAGCCTTCCCTTCACCAAAGTCAGGACAATTAATCTATCCACTGTCAGACACAGTAGAGAACAGTCAATTACAGAACAGAAATTTATGATGAGTTACTTTTCTCAATTTTCAGCACAGCAGAAATAGTTATAGCATCTATGAAGAATATAAGTAGCTAAGACTAGAGAGACAAAAGAGATGACAACTCTCCTTAAAGCGTGACTTAAGGGGCAACTGAAGACACACTGAGATTTCCCAACAATTAATATAAAGGCTTTGATGTGGATAAGGCACCATGCCACCACAGGCCAGTATGGAATGGGAACCAAGAGATCAGAATCATACTGCAAGGATGAGATGGGTCCAAGACAGATAGATGATTTTCCTTGGCTGGTTCTGTCAAGAGTTCAGACCAGCTCATTGGTGAGTAAAGCACAGTTAACACTAGATGTATAATAGATGCAACTGATAGTTATACAAGACCCTGTGCCTGTTCAAGGCAGGATCAGAATGTGTATGGCCAAGGAATTCTACTCAAGGTTGGAATAAACAGCTCTCGATCAGGGAGAACAATGTGGAACAAAACTCAAAATCATTTGGAGAAAAAAAAAGGGGGGGACCAGGTTTGCTGGTCCAATAGAGCCTGGTGGAACCACTGAGACTATGGACCCTAGCTGCCCTTCAGGTCTGGAATTGAACCCACACCTGTGGCTTCCAGCCACACAAAAGACATGCATATGTTGAACATTTATCTGAGGTAGATACACTCCTTGGAGAGAACAATCATGGGAAAAAGAAGGGCAGCTTATGCACAGAGAGACAGCTCAGGGGGCAAGAGTCCATGGAGGGATGGACATAGCTAATTATTGGGAGGAAGTGGGAGGGGAGCTGTTGCATTGTGGTAAACTGTGGTCAATGTCATGAGACAAAGTATATGTGAACTGCTATATGGAAAGTGAATTTGCTCTGTAAATTTTCACCCAAATCACAATTAAAAACAAACAAACAAAAACAGCTCTCGATTGCCAGGGCTACCATGTAAAAAAAAGCCACTGTGATTCAGCAGCATGGTACCTCTATTTCCTCTGATATGCTTAGGGTGGTGTGGCACCAAAAGTGGGGCAGTTACACACACACTCACCTGCAGCCTCATAACCTGGGGAAGCTTTTGCTGATTATCTACAGCACCTTGTACAGTTATACAATCACAGTTGGACCTGGATTCGGTAATCAATGTGTCTTAAGAGTTGGATATTTTTCTTAAGGACTTATTGTTCTATAATAGTTGTTAGTTTTAACTAACAATAATTGGTTGATAGTAAGAAAGCCTTGGCAACTTGCCACCCTTGACATAAAGAAGGTGGAAATGAGGTATTCCCAAGTCCCTCAAACGGGATGTGTTTCAGTTTGTTTTCCCTCAGACACAATGCAACCTAAACATTGTTCGCATTCATGGAAGGATGTGTCCTGTCCTCTCCTTCAAACTTCTTTTTTGTCAGTAGGTGTGATGGGATGGACAGGCCATTCCATGCTTAGTTTTAAGTGGTGATGGCAAGAATCAGAATCCAGGGTGACAGGTAAGACCACAGGAACTTTTCCCTGGACCATTTCTTGAGATCTCTAAGTCTTCTGCTCCTCTTAAACCTGAGCTCACCAGTCCTGCTAAAAGGTGAAAGAGGACAGCATCACGAGAGCAACTTTCTCTGCAGCTCCCTTTTCAATCATGAGATAGCTCTCAGAACCACGTAAGGAGGGATGCAGTAGTAGGAAGGAGTGCGGGAGGAAATGAGAGGAAAAGTTCTGGGTGGAAGTGAAAGAGATGCTGGTAAGAGTTTATAATGTGGCTTCATTGTGGCTTGTTTACAAGACTCATAGACTATGTAGGTCCCTATGTCCCACGTAACCTTCTCAGGTACATGACCCACAGGCATCTTAGCTTTCTAATCATCAGAGAGAAGTCTAGGAAATGTCCTGGTTTGAGAAAAGAAGGGGAAAAGGAGAAATACAAGCATAAAAGGGCACTCAGTCTGTGACTATCTACGTGTCAGTGTGCCACCCCTCTCTACCCCAGCCTGACACTTACTGAATCACTCTTGATTGTGTGGTGTGCCTCAGGCCTTCCCTAGCACCAGCGAAGTCTGCTATCCTCTCACTCCTGTCCCCCCAGTTTCCCAAAATAGACAAGGCCACCTCCTCAATCCATGCCCCAACCCAAAAGCACAGAGCAAGTGCCCTGATTTGGCCGCACTCTGAGTTGACCCTGTCTACATGTGCTTAAGAGCATGAGGGTTAATTTAGTACCTTCACCAAGCTCCCCTAGTGTGGTAGTTATGTTTGTGTGTCAAACTTGGCTGGGCCTGGCTGAGTGGCTGGGCAGCTAGTGGTAGTTATTCCCCATGATGAGACTGGCAATCAACTCCACAGTGGGATCTACCACAAGCAGCTGAGTAACTGCTTTAGGGATGTGGTCTGCTTCCTATATTTAAGGAGAAGCCTGGGGAATGGTCTCTAGCTTATGGCACACTTAGACCCTGCATCTAGCTGTGTCATTGCTCAGCAGCCTGCTATGCTCTGCCAACCCTGGGACTTACAATGCACTAAGTTAATGACCTGCCATGTGGACTGGTAACATCGGGACTGTGCCTTTTTACTTGTCAACCTTGGGGCTTCTCAGCCTCAGCAGCCAGCAGCTGTCTGAAGAAACGCCTCTAGCTCCAGTGGGCCAGGAGCAGGAGGCAGAGCTAGACCCCAAGGTTGAGGGGCTTTCACCCAGCCCCTAGAGCCTAGCACTTTGAACTTGGACTTAAAGCCTCCAAACTGTAAGAGAATAAACTCCTGTTTGTTAAGGCCATCCCACGTGTGGTATATTTCTCATCAGAGTGGCACTAGGGAACCAGAACACCTAGGGAGCCAAAATCCAGACCCCTTGCCTTTGCTTTTCTGGGAAAAAAAAAATCACAGCCCCTCAGAAGAACAATCCTTATCGCAAACGTCTTTGGCTAATCCAGAAAAATCATGATACAGTTCTTCATTTTTAAACCCTTTCCCATATTTTTCAAATGACACTGGGAAACACTCTGATGTCAACCCTTATTCTGAGTCCTAATCATCTTCCTAGTATAGAAGTTAACTTTATAAGGACAAGGTGGCAGACAGTATGTGATCCTTCTGACGGGTCTAAAGCAGGTCTAGCTGAGGGCCAAAGTGAAAGTGGGATTCAAGCGATTTTTATGGGTTTGTAGCTGAGGTCAAGGTGAAGGATGACTTTTCATCCACAGCCCCAGGTAAGAAGAGGCGAGGACAGGGGCAAGGAAGGGCAGGGAGAGGAGGAGAAAGCCTGCCCTTGCTCTGATGGGGTGAGGAAGCCAGGGCCCTGCTCCCACCTTTCCCGTGCTCCAGGCCAACCATCCCACCCATGGAGGGAAGTCCTGCCCAATCTCGTTTCCCTGGAAGGCTGGGCAAGATGCAGTTTTCTGATTCAAAGAAAAACCAGAGGCCTTCAAAAGGTTCCCTAAACACCAGATGACAACTGTCTGATGCATGTGTTCAGACCCTGGAATCTGACCAGCAGGACTAATGTGCTCATCCTTAGAAAGGACTCAGTCTTGATAACAGCCCTCTGCTTTCTGAGCACCTTTCCAAAAGGCCCAAGCAGTGAACCTGTGGGACCCAAGAGGGAGGATGGAGAACCGCCAGGCCACTGTTACAGACTAAGGACAACAAGTCAAGACACAGTCCCAGAAGAAGAGAGGCAGTGAAGACTTGGAACGGGAACCTCATCAGTGCCCTGTAAACACCACTGCCCTTCCTTCTGATGCCCTTACAAACCAACACATCATGTCTTCTTCAGTGAGTCTGTGTTAATGGAACACACAGACAGCACCAGCCTTCCTTTCCAACTAAGCTGATCGGGACAAAAACATTCATCTACAGACAGGGCAGAGAGCACTTACCTCCATCCGTGTTGGAGAAACTCTGTGGAAACAAAAGCAGGACTAAGAGTTACTACCCACGTGGACAAATACCCCCTCTTTCATTTAACCCCATCTCTCCCCACCCCAGCCCATTTGACTGTGATGGGTAAATGCAGTACTCTCTCTTCTTCAGGGACATTTGATTTGGATCCCAAAATTTAAGGGAAGAGTTTACTATGCTCACTTTATACAGAAATTCTCCAATACTGATTGAGCTTATCCAGCAATACCCTTGGTTGCGTTAGAGAAGCGATATCAGAAATAAAAATATCTTAAAATGAATTTGGTTTGACTATATTGCTTTCCTGTCACTGATAGATAACTAGGGAAATGGGGTACAAGGTGGAAGGAAGGTCTCGAGATAGTCAAAGCCTATGGCTGCGTGGATTCTCCAGTCTTTGCAACATGGCACCATCTGTTTTTTAATACAGTAAAATTTCATATATTGACACTATAGGTATTTGGAATTCATGTCCATTTTTGTTTTTGGCCTGTTTATAAAGGAAGGACTCAAAAAGTGAAGTATAATTAATGTCAGGGGAGCACGCTGAATCTATTAAACAAGAATTGTTTCTTAATTTCTTGAGTCCTGTGGGAGAAGGCCTTCCAGCATTAGATATACAAGGGTCTGGAAAGTAAGTCCCAGTACCAGTTGCTGTCAAGTTGACAGACTCAGGGCAACTCCATCAGACACATCAGAGCAGAACTGTGCTCCACAGGGTTTTCAATGGCTGAAGCATATCATCAGGCCTTTCATCCAAGGTTCCCCCTGGGAGGACTCAAACTGCCAACCTTTCAGGTAGCAGCCAAGCATGCTAAGCATTTAGTCACCCAGGGACTCCAGGGATAGCAGGTAGATGGGGTTAATGTAATCACTCTATGTCTCCCAGCAGCCAGGTGGACGGACACACCTGAAGCCAGGCCACTCTCTCAGCTTCAGGAATGGCACCTGGTCCTCATACATCTGTCCCTCATTTAACAGAGCTGGTGGCTCAGACTTCCCATCTATACCAATTTGCCTTTTCACCCATGGGTCCCATTTTGCTAGGATTTACTTTCCCCGGATATAATTTAGAGAAATCACACTTGTTTTCTTCACCTTCTGAAAGTCCTTGAAGGATTTTTCTGTCTCCTTCAGTTTCTCTAGGATGATTTGCTCTTTGGCAGATATCTGGGACTCTTCACTTTCTAGCGCTTGTATTTCCTGTTCCAGCCTGGAAGACACACAAACAGAGGACAGGTTACTTTATTGTCCTGCCATCCCCGGGCAAGAGAGCAGCTCCTTCCTGTCCAGTGCCTGGAGCCTTCCTGGTCCATTTTACATTATGCAGAGGTAGCAGGCCAAGGTTCTACATTGCACAGCGTCCTGTGTTTCCAGCTCTGCACTGAGCTGACACTGGAGGAAGGAAAGCGACCCAGAGCTACCGCTGCTAGTTCACAGGCAGCACTTGGCAATCAGCTTTGGTGTCTCCCCTCCAAACCTATTCACATGCGCATTTCTTGTTCGGGGAAAGATCACTTTGACATAGCATAGGACATAGTATCTGAAGGAAACTAGCTCCATATTCTCCTAGCTAACGCAGAATAACTGTTCTTCTATCAGGTTGACCAAAAGTGAAGGTCCAGTCTTGCTCAAAAGAGCAAGTCCTGGGAGCCTGGTGTCATCTCCCCCAGTGACTTGGCCTCCACGGCCCCAAAAGAGACGGAGGAAAATAAAGTAACTGCCCCCACGCGTTCTCTTCCAGAACTCTCCCCAGTTTTCACAGCCATCGTATGTATTTTCTGAAAGGGAAATTTCAGTGTTTCCTGGAGACTCTGGGACTATTCCAGACCAGCAGCTAGAGCTATGATTTAGGGGAAGTCTTCCTGTGAAATGATAGTAATAACCATTAACTGTCATTGAGCACTAATTAATTCTGTGCCAGAAACTGAGCTAAAAATTTGCATTTATCTATCTCATTTAACCTTCACGGTGACCCTACGAGGTAGAGAATCCCCACTTTACAGGTGAGCTCATTACGACTCAACAAGATTAATTAACCAGTTCAATGCTGTAGAGCTCTGAAGTCAGGATTCAAGCCAGGAAGTCTGGCCCCAGACACTGCTCCTAACCACTGGGCTAAACTCTGTCCAAGAGAGTTCTGTGATATTTCACACATTCATCACCTTTTAACATCATATATGTTGGCATACTAGGGTAGTACTGCTATGAAGAGATGACTTTGAGATTATGGCGGGGTGCACCATTACCTAAAGGACTCTAGACTGCTGTGCCTCTTGAATGATGTGGACTAAATGTATTTGTTCATTCATTCATTTTTGCTTGTGGTCTCCCTGCCCCCTTCATCATGCTGGAAGCTTTGCTGCAGGGTCTCTGCCTTCTACTCTACTTGTCTCTCCTCCCCTCCCTCCTCCCCCTATTCCTAATCTGTTGGGAACTGGATAACCAAGGCTGCTAGAATTAGGCCTAAAATAAAGACTTCAGAGCAAGATTTTCTGATCTGGTAAGAACCACCGAGATATAGGCATGGATTTGGGATGCACTATGGCCCCTTTGGGCCACTATAAGTCAGAAATGACTCGACAACAACACGTTTGGTTTTTGGTTATGACCTTTCAAACGCCTTTTCTAGTTCCTTTCTAAGTATAACAAAGATGACTTGTAAAAGGATAAGACTTTGCAGCAATTACTTTGGGTTTAGAAGAAAACCCCTACTTCCAAATGTTCCTACCTCCTCTGAATAAGTACAGCTCTAGACGTGTTTATCATGGGAGCTCTTGTAGCATAGTGCCTAAGGCATTTGACTGCTAAGCAGAAGGCTGGCAGTTCAAACCCACCTGCCACTCCTTGCAAGGAAGATGGGGCAATCTACTTCTGTAGAGATACCACCTTGGAAACCCAAAGAGGGTTTACTATGAGTCAATCACAAAAAATAAAAAATATAAACATGTAAGATCAGTGAGGAAGTCAGTCACATTGAAGACATTCTTAATGTAGCGATGAGAACCTCCTGTCCAGCAAATTGGAAAAGGCAGTATCCCAAACCACACCTCTGCCTACAAGCACCTACCTGCATCTGGATCATATACTCTGCCCTCTTGTTCTTAGAGCTGACCTGTCCATGCTCCTACTTAAGGCCACCCCATCACATTTGCACTGGATCTCTTCCCTTGTCTGACCTATTCCCCTGCATCAATTTTCTTTTCTCTACTGGATCATTCCCATTGGAATAGAAACATAGTAGTATCTTCTGGTGGCATAGTGGTTAAAGGTATTCAGTAGTTCACCAAAAGGCCAGCAATTTGAATCCACCAGCTGATCTGGTGTGCAGATGAGGCAGTCTGTGTCCATAAAGATTTAAAGCCTTGAAAACCCTATGAGTTGTCCTATAGGATCACTATGAGTCAGAATCAACTTGATGGCACAGGATATTATTTCTCACATTTAAAACAAAAACAAGCAAAAAACTCCTCTCTCCTGACTTCACTTTCCCTTCTATTGCCTGCCCCAACACTTTGGTCTTCCTTTACAATATTTCTTAAAAGAGTTGTGTGTAATTGCTTTCGCCAATTCCTCTCCTCCCAATTTTTCCTTACTCTAACTTGGCTTTTGCCATTACTACTTTATTCGACTCGATGGCACCTAACAACACAACAACTTTACTCAAACCACTCTGGTCAAGGTCACTGGTGACGCACCTTCTTCGAACATTTCCTAGCATATTATTTTAGTTTCTCAGAAGTCTTATCAAGTCTGTGTGTTAGAACAGTGGTTCTCAATGCAGGTGATCTGTTCCCCAGGGGATAGGTGGCAATGTCTGCAGACATTTTGGGATGTCAAAACTGGGAGGGTGGGGCTAGAGGCTTGGAATGATACTAAACACCCTCCGATTCACATGCCAGTCCCACACAACAAATTGTTATCTGACTCCAAATATGAATGTTGTTGTTGTTAGGTGCTGACTCATAGTGACCCTATATACACAGTATAAGAGAACGAAACAGTGCCCGGTCCTGTGCCAGCCTCACCATCCTCGCTTTACCTGAGCCCATCATTGCAGCCACTGTGTCAATCCATCTGGCTGAGGGTCTTCCCCTTTTTTGCAGACCCTCCACTTTTACCAAGAATGATATCCTTCTCCAGGGAATGGTCCCTTCTGACAACATGACCAAATTAGGTAAGACGAAGTATGGACATTCTTGTTGCCAAGGAGCATTTTGGCTGCACTTCTCCCAGGACAGAATTGTTAGTTCTCTTAGCAGTCCCTCGTACTTTCAGTATTCTTCACCAACACCACAACTCAAAAGCATCAACTCTTCTTTGGTTTTCCTTATTCATTGTCAAGCTCTCACATGCATATGAGACAACTGAAAATAACATGGCTTGTGTCAGGCACACATTAGTCCTCAAGGAGACGTCTTTGCTCTTCAGCACTTGAAAGAGGTTTTCTGCAGCAGATTTGCCCAGTGCAATCTGTCGTCTGATGTCTTGACTGCTGGGTGTTGATTGTGGAACCAAGTAAGATGAAATCTTTGACAACTTCAATCTTTTCTCCATTTATAACGATGCTGCTTATTGGCCCATTTGTGAGGATTTTCGTTTTCTTTATGTTGAGCTGTAATCCATATTGCAAACTGTAGTCTTTAATCTTCATCAGTAAGTGCTTCAAGTCATCTTCACTTTCAGCAAGCAAGGTTGTGTCCTTTGCCTATCACAGGTTGTTAATGAGTTTTCCTTCAATCCTGATGCCATGTTTTTCTTCATATAGTCCAGCTTCTTGGATTATTTGTTCAGCATACAGATTGAATAAGTGTGGTGAAAGGATACAACCGTGATGCACTCCCTTCTTGATTTTAAAACATGCAGTATCCCCTTGTTCATCTGAATGATCGCCTCTGTGCTGTCTATGCAATGTTCCTCATGAGCACAATTAAGTTGTTCTGGAATCCCCATTTCTTGCAATGTTATCCATAATTTGTTATGATCCACACAGTTGAATGCTTTTGCATAGTCAATAAATACAAGTAAACATCTTTCTGGTATTTTCTGCTTTCAGCCAAGATCCACCTGGTATCAGCAATTCCCTTGTTCCATGTCCTCTTCTGAATCTAGCTTGCATTTCTGGAAGTTCCTTGTCAATATACTGCTGCAACCGTTTTTGAATTATCTTCAGCAAATTTTACTTGCTTGTTATATTAATGATCTTGTTCGATAATTTCCACATTCTGTTGGATCATCTTTCTTTGGAATGGGTACAAGTATGGATCTCTTCCAGTCAGTTGACCAGGGAGCTATCTTCCAAATATTTAGGCATAGATGAGTAAGTGCATCGAGCACAGCAGCCATTTGTTGAAATATCTTAACGGGTATGCTATCAATTCTTGGAGGCTTTTTTTTTTTTGCCAATTCCTTCAGTGCAGCTTGGACTTCTTCCTTCAGTACCATTGGTTCTTGATCATATGCCACCTCCTGAAATAGATGAACATCAACCAATTCTTTTTGTACAGTGATTCTTTGTATTCCTTCCATATTCTTTTGATGCTTTTTGCATCATTATTTTGCCCGAAGAATCTTTCAATATTGCAACTTGAGGCTTGAATTTTTCCTTCAGTTCTTTCAGCTTGAGAAATGCCAAGCATGTTCTTCCCTTTTGATTTTCTAATTCCATGTCTTTGCACATTTCATTATAGTAATTGACTTTGTCTTCTTGAGCTGCTCTTTGAAATGTGTTCAGCTCTTTTATCTTTTATCTTCCATTTGCTTTAGCTACCCTCTGTTCAAGAGCAAGTTTCAGAGTCTCTTCTGGCATCCATTTTGGTCTTTTCTTCCTTTCCTGTCTTTTGAATAACGTTTTGCTTTCCTCACATATGGTGCTCTTGATGTCATCCCACAACTCATCTGGTTTTTGGTCATTGGTATTCAACATCCTAATATACATAGTGCTAACTCTTAACCCCATTTTAGAAGACACATGAATTATTCATTTCCCCAAGAGATTATAAATGTATCATGGAGAGAGCACAAGTGGCAATATCTGTATGTTGAATAAATGAAATGAACCAAGTTGCACAAAGGTGTGGATCAGCCAAGGTAAGCCCTTCAGGATTTCTGAGACTGGGTCCTTTCTTCAGTAAGCTTTGACTTAGAAGCTGTGTGTAGGTGGGAGATGCAAATATAGTCTTGAAGAAGAGGGGGCCAAGCAACATGGAAGTA